CAATTTTTTGAAAAATTTCAAGGCCTCCATTTTGAAAATTTTACAACATCCGTAATGGTCGAATTAAAGCAAAAATGTGAATCTTTCCCATAAGAAACAATTTATCATAGTTTCATGCAAATCGGAGAAGGCGGGTCATTTGGCGTGCTTAATAAAGAATAGAGCAGTAGGGGTTTCAATCTAATTTCCGTCCTACTAAGCACAACCCGCACTTTACCTCTCTTTTCTGAACGAGTTTAAACAAAAAATGGAATATTTCTGTCAAAAATTACTTCTAAATTTATTCACCTTTCCATACGTACCGTTGGATTTGATAAAGAGTCACCAATTGTTGAGATATTGATTAAAATTTAATACTGCTTATTGATTCTAAATTCGTTCTACGAGTTTCAATTCCGTCCTAACGCATTGAAACGCCATTAGATTTTCTTCGTCCTACGGATTCGCTAGGAGCGCTTCTTTTGTTTTGTTCTCAGTGTAAATATTCATACAATGCGCTCTAACAGGATTTATGTTGTAGCTAATGAACTTTCGCATCGGAACAAACCTATTATTGATTTGTGCACGGTGAAATCATTGATATTATTGATCTTTTCTGATCGATAGAACGGAAATGGACGATTACGACGAAGTAGCGCTCTACCCTATACCAGTTTTTACGCTGGTATAGTGACTGGAGCTGCATTGCCAAGCGTCAAAAACGCACAGGACGCTTGAGGTGTTGGAAGAAGAGGTGGTGAAGGTGGATGTAACGTGTCCGGATTCCGAGAAGAACAGTAGAGAGGAAACAAGCGATACTCTGCAGCAGCAGCCGCCTTCTTTCAACTACCGTAAAACGGGGTTTCTTTGATAATGCGGGTGGTCCTTGGTAGTAGAATGTTTTGATAAAATTTACTTTCTGCACTATTTCCGAATTGGAAAGATTGGTTCCATTTTGTAACTTAGGGTAGCGTTTCTCAATATATGGGACGCGACCCGCCGGTGGGTCGTGGGCTGCCTTCCGGTGGGCCGCAAATATTCAGAGATTTGAATAAAAGGACTGGTCAAACTATTTTCGTGATTATATGGCCATTATGGCATTTTGAAGCAAGTTTGAAAAGTCTAGAACATTTTGTTATATTTCTTCATGTTTGGTCTTTTTTGACGTTTTTGATGTTTTGAAATTCTCTGATTCTCATTCCAGTTCAAGTGGGTACACCACCTGTGGTCGATGTCACCTATTTGAGCCAAACTTGGCCAAAACGCTTATTTTGGCATTCTGAACAAACAACTTTTTTGATTTTTCTCTGAAGTGCCTAGATCCTTGTCGGCTACAACCCTGGAGTTTCGAGATTTTTAAAAATTTCATCTTTCAGAAGAGATAACTATACAACCAAATAAGCTATTCGTGATCTTAGAACGGCAATTTGAAGGTTTTTTAATATTGATTCTTATAGATGTACCCACATTTTATTTTTGATATAGTAACTACAGTAAGCAGGCTGATTACCGGCAGGTATCCAAATTTTCAAAAAATCGCCTATTTCCACAAATTTTTCAGAAGTGGAAAATGCGTTCCTCGTGATCATAAAAGAACTTATTTGGTTGTGGAGTAATCTCTTCTAACAGTTAAATTTTTAAAAATTTTGAAAATTCAGTGTTGTAGCCCAGAAGGATCTAGGCACCTTAGAGCAAAATAAAAAAAAAAAGGCATTTGTTAAGAATGCCAAAATAAGCGTTTTGGCCAACATCTTTTAAAAATGGTGTACCCACTTGAGCTGGAATGACCCTTAAGTGTTTTTGAACATTTCGGAATTTTAATGTTAGTTTGGAAATTCTAGATCATTTCGACCATTTTTGACATTTTCTGTTTTTTTTTTATATTCTTAGGTAATTTTCAAATATTTTAGCTAGTCTGAAAATTTTAGGTTATTTTCAACATATTGGACTTTTTTTGGGGTTCCCCGGGCCATAATAACACATTTGTACTATTTTGGGTGCCATATTTCTCGTTATCAAGCCGTTTCAATGTCATTTTGAGTTTGAGTGTCAGACAATCATGTAGTTTGAAGACCAATTATTGACATTTTAGGGTCATATTGGTCTTACAATATGTCTATTCAATTTTGGTGGGTCACGGGTTTATGAAATATATTATATGTTATTATATGATTATATTTAAAAATTCAAAAATGGTGCAAGGATGTATCCGATAAAAGTGGCGCACATGTAAACAGTTGTCACTTTTTACCTATTAGGTATATCAAATACCTTGAAATTTTCAGTGAAAATTGTTTAGCTTACAACGTATACATGCATTTTTTTTAAAGGTCTGCAAAGTGCTTTATCTCGAGTAATTGTCATGAGAACAACATACTGTCTAACAAATTGTGTACAGTCTCAAATTTGAAATCTGCATCCTGATGAATGTGGGCGCCTTAGTGAAATACCTGTATAATGAGAGAGAGAAGGATTAGAAATTTCCATTTAATTCCACAACCTTATTTGCTTATTCCACTACGTTATTTGCTTATCCTTGACAGATACGCGTATTTCGTCTACAATGTGCAGACTTCTTCACTGTCTTGTACAAATAGTCAAGGATAAGCAAATAAGGTAGTGGAATTAAATGGAAATTACTAATCCTTCTCTCTCTCATTATATTGAAATCTGCAGTTATGCAAGGAAATTATTGCGACATTGTTGCTATTGGCTCATGGAATCAAACTGAAATTTTTTCCAAATATAATAAATCAAAATTTTGTGCAGTTGGTCACAAATTACACTTCAAAATTTCAGCACATTTTGATTTAAAAATGTTAACCCTTCAACTCAAATGAAAACTCAACGCCAAACAAAAACAATATTTTCGAACACACTTTAAAGATTCGTAATCAGTTAATAAATTAAACAAGGAATAGATTAGATAAGTACAAATTGGCGCCGTGTAGTTTTACGCCACTGTACAAAATGTGTAAGACAACATTTTGTTTTATTGATTAGAACCTTAGTCAAAGCTCCTATTTGCATCAAGACATATCAAGCTGAACATTGCATTAGGTCCTTAGTAACATTGACAGATTTTCTTCGTCGACTTTCGCTTTGTTTCCCCACAACCATCTCAAGACATGCCCAGGTATTCTCAGCACACAAATCGATAAAATAAGATTTCATCTAGCATCTAATACGACAAACACAACAAGAAACGGTTATGTGATCATGTTATTCACGAAAGAGAAAGTCGACGAAAAGAATCGATCAATGTTACTTAGGACCTAATGCAATCTTCAGCTTGTGTTTTACTTGCTCAGTACTCTCTAATGAACCTGAAAATTTAAAGTTAGTTGGTATAATTGTTAAAAATTTACAACTGTGTTTTTATCGAATTCCCCCCTTTACTACTATAAATTCAGTATAGTGGACTTTACAAAGGAAGAGCTGATAAAGAATGAATAGGAGGCTAAGCGACAGAACGCGGAAGCTAAGCTCAAGTCTCCTCCCAGGAAGAGTAAGAAGAACTCATAAACTATGTTTCTCATTAATACTTTTATCATTTTATTGTAATTATACAATTGTTTACTGGTTCTCGGCTCCGTAAAGTCCTTGTGATAATTTGAGCCTTAACAAATAAACCAATTGATAAAAATATGCCTCGAATCTTAAAGTCTGTCCAACATAAATCACACTTAGGACCTTTACACCTTTACGGTCAGAGCCGGCTGACCCATTCGAGACCACAGTTAACTCATGTTCACCAGTAGCCGTTGTACGTTTCAATCCTTCACGTGCCCCTCAAAGCCTGAGAAGCTGTCAAACACGAACGTGATTTATCTTCTTAATTACCATCTACAATACATTCCTTATCTGGAAAGGATTTCTGTCTGCTCTGAATCTGTTCTCCCTCCGTCTCCTTCCTCACGTTATTGGTTATTGCAGGCAATCAATGATGGCGTGTGACCCGTAGCGGCCAAAGAAGATTTATCACTAGTCCATAGTGTTCGCATACATTGTTGGTCGCCTTTGACCATAGGAGACCTCATCGAGGTGCACAAATAGTCACAGGTATAGGAACACCGCTTTGTTCTCAGCAGTCAGATGCGGGCTGTGTACAATTTTGTGTGAGACTTAATTGGAATCTACTGCATGCTTGCTCTGGTTTTTCAGCACCACTCTTGTACAGTGAAGTGCGCTAAAACGTGATTCAGGACTAGTTTCACCCGGCGCCCGCACTCGACGAAAGGTTAAGTAGCGGAACCAGCGCTGAACTGAGTTGAGAACTTTTGCACGTTAGTACCTAGGATCGAGTGATTGCCATCTAACAATCTAAACAAACCACCGCCGAGTTTCGAGTTGACTGCGGCAATAGATGATATTATGTATGCAAGATATTGTCGATCCTTAAAATAAACAAATTCAAGGCTAATATTTTGACGAGGAGAACACATTCAGCAACTCGTTGACATGGCTTTATTGTTCAGCGCTGTTGACGGCGGTGGCGGGTGAAAATGAAAGGCGATCTCGTTTTGATGGAATGAAACAATGTTGACTTTGAAGGATACCTAGGTAGTCACCAAGTGACGAATGGTTGAAGTAGTTCAACTAAACTTTTGAATGATTTGTGTATGGGAGTGTATTTTTCAATATCTGTTTGGTTGATTCTCATTAACCTTTACGTATCCAATCTTTTTCTCCCAAAATATTTGATATTGCTGGGATTTTGAGAAAATTTTAGAGCATTTCTTGAACTCCTGTATGCTTGAATTCATCATTAATCCTTATGTTAAGCCCTTCCATTAACTAATAGCTGGTGGACAGGAAACCATTCAAAGGGTATTCCAAAGATGACGATTAGAAATAGTGAAGCATGTAGTATCAATTACGATCAGCTGAAAATGCTCTCCAAATTTGCCAAAGCAACTCTAGAAAACAACAATCCTTGAACTGTGCCGATGAACCAGGAGTAGGTACGAAGCCAGCATAGTATGGAAAATAAATGTCACGAAGATCAATCAGTTCAAAACCGGTGAATCATAAACCAAACTGTAACACTCTGCAAGCGTCATCCACGGGTTGTTATTTATTTTATTTATTTATTTTTCTCCTTTTCTTCTTCAGCTCAGTTCGTTTCCCACCGTCACCAAACCAAACACTATCTCGCTCGACCGTCAAAAGCTTCTGGTACACAATTCTCCTCAATGTCACACACCGAAAATTCACAGCAGCCGAAAAAAAAAATCGAAGCACCAAACAAAAACCGATGGATCAACTCAAACAGAAGCGGGGAGCCTGGGAAGAACCTGTAAGTCAATAGCTTCGACCCTCACGCTTGTCTACGCTCCCACCGACGACGACGACGACGACGCTCGAGACGCTCGCTGTTATCTTCTCAAGCATCGACCGATCCGATCCGCGTTAGATTGCATCACTTCGAGTCGCCTAATTGCACCAAATTGCGCGCTTTTTCTGTCTAGCGGCAGTTAACCTCTCCGGACTGCTGTTATTTGCATTTCCATCTCAATGGTAGCACTAAAACATCACCACTACTGCTACTGCCGCTGCTGCTGTTGCTACTATTCTCCTCCGAAAAAAGCAGCTTCTCATCAACCGGACCGCGAACACAGTCGATAATGGGTAGCTCTAACTGAAAGCACAACCACACGAGCAAAACACCAACGGAGGCGACTAGGACGGCGGCGACGACGACGACGCGAAAGCCGTTGATAACGACATTGAACTTCAAGTACGAATTAGTCAAAAGATTGACTTCGGTTGCGAAATTAGCACTCTCGACGGATAGTATTCTCACATGTCTACTATAATCTACCAAATCAACCCGTTCGTTCTCTACTATAAAAACAGGAAAACAGGCTACAGCCAGGAAACAGATCACGCACCGTGTGTGGGGGAGGACCGCTAATCACACACACAACACACTACTCGACGACGGGGCTGAGAAAGCGTGTTGACACTACCAGCGGACGGAACGAACTGAACACGCGAACGGACTCGCGACGAGATATGAGTTCAGTTCAGGTCCGTGTGCGCGGTTGATTTCGCAAATGACGTGTTCTTTGATGAGAGCGAGAGCAAATAACCACTCTGTTATGTTTCAAAGTTTACTAAGCTGCTGTCTACTGTGCAGTGAATCGATGAACTGATGCGGAATGTTCATTTCAGTTGGTAAGCACTGTGGGGTACGAAGACAGAAGACTTGTGTCAGAATTATTGCGATAAGAGATGAACTTGATTTGGAGCTTATTGGTAACTCTAAAATAATTCGTTGTATCTTGACGTAAAGTACTGATACATTAAAGGAAGCTGATCAACTTGATGATCATTATCCAAATTCATTAACGAGCAAAGTTTTAACAATCAATATCCTGGATCTGGACTTAATGGCTCATTCCATGAAGTTGTTTTACCACCACCAAGGAAAAGTTCAGTTTCACTTTTAGAAGAGACTTGATTAAGCTTTTTTAATCAGCACCATGTCAATCCAGTTCTCTTTGAGTCAAATCAACATTACAAACTTCAAATTTGATTAAAATTAGTTGTTCTACACTCGTTCAATACATATCATGTAATCTTATTGCCAGTTTCACCAAATTGCATTTAAATTGATATAGAAGGACGTGGTTTTGAAATTCAAAAAGCTTAGAACTTCGTATTTATTTTCAAATTTTAACAAGGCGAAAAAAAAAAACAGAATTTCACTCTTCTTCACGTTTTGAGTAAGGTAGTGTACGCCTGGAATTGTCAAACTGCGTACAGCCTGGTACCTCATGATCGATCCAAAACAAAACATGAGTAATGAGCCTTTAAAGTGAACTAAATTTATTTGAGAAATGACCTAAGAACGGGTTAAAAACTTCAAATTTGCCAAAATAGTGCAATCTCAAACTTCTTGGTCTATTTTCACCCCTTTTTTCTCTTTAAGGCTTCAGAAGAAATAGTGAATACAAAGAATTTGTAGATTTTATAGCTCATTCCTCCAATGGTTTTCTTTCGAATGGTCAAAGGTAGAAGTTGTTAAATTGGACCGTTTTCAAATGAAATTGTACGCAGTTTTGAAGAATCATGTTTCGAGATAAACGCATTTAAACCCGAATTCCGAAAGCCGTGCAAGACAACCAACTCGAGAAAATAAGGCTTACCCAAGTAACAATTCAAGCTGAACAGCAAGAAGAGAAGCTGATTATTGGTTGATTTAAGGTGTACAAAGCTGATTAACATTAAGCTGAATATATAGTTGATTAGTAGTGCATGAAGCGAATTGTATCCCCATAATGCAACCTCAATAAGTTAGCTGATCTAAAGATTGAACAAGCCTTATTTAAGCGTAACACAACTCCACAAATCAGCAATGTGTTACACACATTTTGATAGCTTGATTTGTTAAATGTCGTCAGTGTCTGCATAAGTAGCATTGAAAGTTTTATTAAGGTTTAAAAGTACTCTACAAGTCTAAATCATGGTCTACAGAACCCTCATAAAACCGAAATTGTTACTTGGGTGTGTCACTCGTTGCATTTCTGGCATTTTAGTTCTTCTAAATTCATTGTCTACCTTTCTGATTACAAGCAGTGGCAGCAGTAGTGACAACGAAGAGGAAATTTTTAGGAATAGCTCCAGGTAGATGTGGGCTGCGACGACGTCGGAAGTATTAACATTTGTATTCCTGTGTTTTATCTGTTATATTGCATATTGAAGTTTCAGACTGCATTCCAAAAATATTACTCAATTATGGCACTAAAATAGCATCTAAATGACCATCGAAATAACTCACGCACTTGTGTCCTCATTGCATTAACTGCGCTTGAGAATAAGAAGAATGTTTTACTGTCACCAGTTGTTGTTTACAATTCTGCATTGCTTAAGTGGTCCAGTAGGTATGGTTGACGCCTGTGAATCAATGACGGCCGGTTCGAATCCCAAAATGAAAAGGGTTATTTTTAAACTTATATTAACAATTTAAATATGTAAATCCAATTAGTCAGCAACAAGTTCAAGCAGCTCCATATAAATGCATAAGATTTTTTTTTTTTTATTATAGTCGCTTTAACACTCTTGGGTCATTCGTGTCTTGTCCGGGGGTGAGATTTGAACTCGTGACTTTGGCGTGAGAGGTATGGATGTTAACCACTACGCCGGGGTCGCCCCCCAATGCATAAGATATGAGGCGGTCTTCCATTATTATTTTTGAAATAAAACTAGTAGGCTGAACAAGGCTTGGAAAAGACTGTTATTTTAAGCCTTAAAAAGCTTATAGTTTATATAACTGTTAAGCTTTTGGCTGAATAAAATCACCAGATTTAGATGTTTGAAAGCTGAACAAAGATTAACGTGGACTACGTACGACAATTATTCAAACTAAGGCTGAATTAAAATCGATTGAACAACACTTGTTAAGCATCAAATTGTTCTGCAATGTTGTTCAGGATGTCAAGGCCTTTTGAATATTTTGCAGTTTAGTTCAGAAACCTCTTGCTAGGTGGCACTAGCGATCTTATAAATTCTGTGTGAATGCTGGGTCGACATCTTGTAATCTTTGCTAGATACAAAGATGCTGTTTTCTGCAATGTTCTTCAAGAGGCCAAGTCCTATTGAGTTGTTGATAGTTTAGTTTGAAATCTTCTCGCTAGGTGGCACTAGTGTTCTTATAAATTCCATGTAAAAGGACGGTTGACATCACTAGATCCTTGCAATATACAACGTTTCTATTTTCTACCATGTTTACAGGAGGTCAAGGCATTTTGAATTGTTGACAGTTTAGTTAAGACTTCTCACGCCAGGAGACACTAGTTTTCTTATGAATTTCATGTAAATACTGGATCCACAACTCAAGATCATAGATATACACAAAGTTACTTTTGTTCAGGAGGCCAATTTTTTTTTTCATCGTTGTCAGTTTTGTTCGGAATTCTCTCGGTAGGTGGCAGCAATGTTCTTATAAATTTTATGTACATGCATGGATGACACCTCTAGATCCTTTCTAGATACAAAAGTGCTGTTTTCAACAATGTTGAATTGAGAACATTTTAGTTGGGAATTATCTCGATAGCCGGCACTAATGCTCTTATGATTTTCGTGAAAATACTGGTTCGATATCTCGAGATCTTTGCTATGTACAAAGTTGCTGCATTGTTGTTCAGAAGACTAAGGCATTTTGAATTGTTAACAGTTTAATCCGGAATTCTATCTCTAGGTAGCACTAGTATAATAAACTTCGTATATATGCATGGCCAACATCTCGAGATCCTAGATTCAAAGCTGCACACTAATCCAGCATTTAGTTGTTCGGTATTTTTTTTTAACTGGGCTTGAACCGTAAAACAAATATTTTACTGAATATTCAGTTCAAATTAGCGGAATTACTGACATTCAGCAAATGCAAACTGAACTTTGGTAACGTTTATTGTAAAATACTGAGCACAGAATTTGTAATTACTGAGTAAGCCAGAAAGTTCTAAATTTTCTGTATTGTACGAAAAGTTAGTAATTATAACTACTGTACACAAAGTAATCATAGATTTTTTCTGAATATCCGTCAAAATACTCAACATATTGTCCTGACCATGAATTGTAAAATTCTAAGCTGTAACTTTAGCTTTAGTGAAAATCCAGAAGCGGAGTCAAGTCCGAGTGGGAGGCATTTTCGAAGTATCTGATGTCCAAATCAAAAGTATTCTTTCTATTACACCGATAAAACACCATTGGAAGTGACTCCGAGCCCGGAACCTACCAAGAATGCCGACTCCGCAGCCTTGGTTTTTTTTTCTTAAAAATGTTTCATTAAATATTTGAGAAAGGTGTGTTTTATCATCATGGACTGAAGTAAGCTCGACATTGATATTGAAAAACTTGCTATAATTACTAATAATTCTTTTTCAAGGTTACGATTTAATCCCAAAAGTAAGCATTGACACCCCAGCCCCTTTACGTGCGTGAGAAATTAGGCGAAGACAACACTGATGGTGTTTATTTCCTGGGAGAATATCACTATCCATCAGTGCAAATCCTCAACTGCTAATAATTCAACAAACGTGTTTTCTTCTGTGCTAATAATAGTTATTGAATTGAAATTATTATTTCTCTCCCAACACTAACAAAAACTTTTTTAACTGGCTTACACGGTATTTACTAAGAAAAAATAACTGCCTTGTCAGTTAAATGCAAAGCAAATCACGTTCGCATTTACTGGGCTTACCAGTTATTATTCATTTTTTCATTCTTCATTCCTTTATTTAACGTCGGTTTCTGTTCCGCAATCTAGTGCCAATCACCGCCGGACATCGATTGCCACCCATTGGCGGTAATCGAATGTGCAGGAAGGCAGCTTCCACACCTGCGTAGGATATCACACCCATTCAAACACACATGGGCCGGGACCAACGGATTTACTTCCCTTCCGAAGGAAGACGTGACCAAAGATTTTTATGCCTCAGAAAAATCCCACCGACCTCGGCTGGGATTGAATCCAGACCCATTGGGGTGTGAGAAAGCAGTCACGCTTACCAATACACCACCGGCGCCGGCTACCAGTTAATATAGCCGAATGCAAATCGAATGGATTACCAAACGTTCAGTAGTTTTTGACAGTTTGACTTAACTGATAGTTCGGTAACGAAAATTAATGCTGTGGTGATTAATACTTACCTTACCAATCAGACTAAGGCCTTGTTATCCTCTGCTGTCCGAATAAGTCGTCTCCACTCTACACGATCCATGACCACAGTTCGCCATCCTCGTAGTCTGCGAAGGGCCCGCAGGTCACCTTCTACTTGGTCGATC